AATACAAACTCTTGTTAGCCATTTGAGATAATGAAGTAAAACCTGAGGTGGCAGATGGCAGCACTGGCATTGGGAGCAGCACACTCCGCTTCCCCATGCACCCACCCAGACTCTGGCTCATGCCTGCCCCTTCCCTCCTGGCGTCAGCACTGTCCTGTCCCTGCAGAAGGCAGGTTGCAGCTGTTGCCAGAGGGATCCTTGACCCTGAGAAGAGCAGCTTGTAAGGCTTCTTAACCAACTTCATAAAATTCAAACAGCAGTACAGGTGACTGATATTTTTGCTCTGACGGTATTTCTGACCTGTTTCACATCTGACCTGAAGGCACATCCAGTAATGTATGTTTTCAAAGCAGCTGCCAGACTGAAACGTATTGTTTTATGGTTGTTAACTAGGCTTGCCAACATCAACTTTTATGAAGTATACTCTGGTCAGAACATTCCTTCCACTGTGAATAGTTTTGAAGATATTGGCCCCACGTTCAACTTCTCAGTTAAGGTTAGTAAATGTTTCTGGTTCTGGTTCAAGAAGCTTCATTACCTCCTCCTGTAGCCTAGTCCCAAAACTACTTGAAAAAACATTCCTGATTTCACTGTCTGATTGTGATGCTTTAGTCAAGGAAGGAAAAAAAAAAAATTCAAATAGCTGCATACAGTCTTCATGAGGTTAAGGGTGAAATTTGCACTTAGTGCACAAATAGAATTGGGGAGGGATTGGTTCTGCACTGTTTACATATTTAGAAGATGGTTAATGCTTAACTTTAGGCCAACTGAGACTGTTTTTTTACAAAGTGTATTTGTCTTCTGCTGACATGATAAAGGATGACAAGTCTTTGCAGGCTTGGACTTTGAAACTTGAAGCTTGGCGAGGGTTAAGTACTCAAACCAGATGCAAGAACTAGCCAGATTGCAGCATTTATTACATAACTCAGAAATAGTTAGATCCAAATATGCAACGTGGAAGAAACTTATGTTCCATTTCCATTCCTGAAACTGCTAGTTTAAAGCTTTAGGTAACAGGCCTATTGGCTATGGTGGAATATTTGTTTTTCATGCAGCTAATACAAGCTTTGCTAAGGAGGGGCCTGAAGCTGTACAGTACACCTTCTGCTTTACTAGTGGCATAATGTAATTACTGCCCTAGTAAGCATTTTAGTACAAAAAATATTGATGCAAAAGGGGTCCAGTTCTTTCATACTCATCCCATGATTTCTGATTTTCTTGCTATATCAAATAATTTATACATATATAAATATAGCTATCTGGATTAATTCGGAGTTATTTGCTTTGCAGGTAACAACAGGAAGTGTTCCAGTAAAGATGGCATTTGTAAAAATCTATCTTCCAGAACAGACCAGCAAAGATAACCCACTGATGTACGTAACTGCTGTCACCACAGATCAGGTAAAGAACTGAATTACATAAATTGATGAGTTTGGGGGTTTAATCGTACCATAACCATAATTAATCTTACCAAAACCACATATGGTATCTTAGTTTCCTAAAGTATCTAGTGTTAAATAATTCACAATCTAGCCTTTCAAAGCCACCATCTCATCCCAGAAATATGAATTATTATGATGACTATAAACTCCTGAGTATGATGTCATCCAATTTCCTTTCTTCCATCTCTCCTAGGCCAGAGGTGTTACTTGTCAAGCTCAGATAAATCCATTGCAAATAGGGAAAAGACCTTATTCTGCATCTTTCACAAAAGAGAACTTCAGAGCTTCCAGAGAACTGGTGAGTAACACTCAGGGCTCCAGTACTGCAGGACAGGGATGGAGAGCTGAATCCTTAAGAGACCACTGCTGTACCTGTGGGGACAGCTGTGGTGGGGGTGGCACTCCTCACTGACAGTGCAGGAGTGCAGACTGTGGATGTTCTCACACATAAGTGCCTTTCTCAGAAGAAAACGTGCATCTTCTTCTCAGCCTTCAAGCACTTGACTTGTACGCACAGAATGGCAAAGGCAAGGGCAAAAATAATGGGATGCTAAAACATTTGTTAAAATGTATTTTTAATGTGTGCTGTTGCCTCTTTTTGCTGGTTCCCCTGGAAGAACTGTAAGAATGTGAAGTGCAGTACCATTCCATGCAAACTAGAAGACATTATGCTGAAGGGAGAGTACTTCATTAACGTGTCCACCCGAATCTGGAATGGAACCTTTGCTGCTGTGAGTATCAGCTGCATCTTCATGAAGCGTCCAATACCCAAATCCCAACTCCAATATTTTTCGAAGTTCAGTAAAGAGACCTTGCAGTCTAGAAAGGCCTTCTTTTACATTGTATTTTCAGATTGAATACTTAAATCTAAAAGTAAAATAGTGAGGCTGCATAATGGATCTGATTGTAGAGAGGTCGATGCTGGTCTGTTCTCCCACACAGCAAGCAATAGGACAAGAGGAAATGGCCTCAAGTTGTGCCAGGGGAGGATCAGGTTGGATATTAGGAAAAATTTCTTCACTGAGAGGGTTATCAAGCACTGGAACAGGATGTCCAGGGATGTCACTGAATCACCTTCCCTGGATGTGTTTAAAAGTTGTGTAGATACGTTGCTTAGGGACATGGTTTAGCAGTGGACTTGGTAGAGTTTGCCTAATGGTTGGACTTGATGATCTTAAGGGTCTCTTCCAACCTAAACGATTCTATGATAACCTTTTAGTTCAGAATGAAGCCCAAGAAAATGCTGTGATAATGCAGTCTTCACAGCTGAAAAAAACATTATCTGTGTCTGTTAAATTCATTCAAGGGGAACTGCAGTTTCCACAGAACCCAACAGGACAGCAGAGTACAGTATCGTCATAGCCTGGAAAATGTTTCCTTTAGCTTTTGAACATCACAGCCTACATAGCGATCATTTTCAGTCACAACCAAGTATCAAAAGACTGCTAATGCTGCCAGTTACATTTGTTAGAGAAGGTGTGGGGAATATTTTTATTCATTTTTTGTTCTTCTTAGTTTTTGTGTCAAGGAAACAGTCCTTCCTTAAAGACCTACAGGGTGCTTAAAAATATCGATTAGTTAAGATTCTGACTTTCCCATTTTAAATCACCAATCATCCCTCCAGGATCTAGCTGATCATTAAGTACCAGACTTTTGAAATGAGACCATGTTTTCTTCTTAGCTAGGCAACCAACTAAACTACCCTCGAGTCCTGGGTTTGCCTAGAGTGTCAGGAACATGACGCAGTCTCCTTAGTTTGTCTGGCAAGTCCTATGGCAGGTATTGACATTTAACAGCAGGGCTGTTGTCAGCTTCAGCATTCATCTCTTAAAAGGTCAGGTTGATATGTAATACACTTATGCAAGTGTGTGAAGGAAAGCATCTGTCCATAAAGTTCTGTATTTTTCAAATCAGCTGGGTCAAGACTACTTGTGTTAGTGCTGTCAGGTACACAGAAGGTCGAGGCTTGAACAAAAGGCTGCTGCCCTCGCAAGAAAGACTGGAAGACAGTGCTTACCACTAGGCGATGGGAAGGAAAGATCACGTCACAGTTTCCCTCTCATCTCCCATTTTGCTATTTTCTATTTGATTGTAAATGGTCAGTGCAAATAAGTTTGAAAGCACTCACTAACGCACATAATCAGCTTTTTTGTATAGTGGCAATCGGTTGCTGTCCAAGAAGGGGACAACAGCCTTGCCAGTACCTGCTAAGCAAAACAAAGATGTGTTTAGGAATTAACAAGGTGCTCTGAATACTGCTCATACAGGTTTCTAAGCAGTTAGGACCACAGGATAGGTCACTTGGGTAGGTGACCCCGGCACAGTAACTGTTTGCTGCAGGGACAGTCAGTTTGGCATGCGTCAGCTGCTCTGAGCCCACGGCTACTCATGTTCCCTGTGTCCAGCCCGCTGTACCTCGTCCTGCCACAGACAAATGGCTGAAGAAGCAAAATGACAGAGCAGGCGTTGAATTTGGTACAGCTGGCGAGTGCTCCTGTAATCCCACGGGTCTGAGACTGTTGGCAGTGGTGCTGGAGGAAATGGGGCTCTCCGTGCCTGCTGTGCAAGGAGCAGAATGGTGTTGAGCTGGCGGTGTCGGCACAGCCGTGCTCCTCTCCTTGTGACACATGCACAGGGAACTGGGGTCTGGCACAAGGTCACTTTTCAAATGGGAACTGGCTTATGATTTTTGTCTTTTCTGTCTAAGCTGAGGGAGCAATGTCAGATTTTGAGCAGTGGAGAGGAACAGATAGCAATAGGAAAAAATAAATGGGGAAAAACAGAAGCATTGGATGGGGGGCAGGGGAGGGGAAGAACATCCAGTTTCCATTTCTTTCAAAGGCCAGAGATATATCCCCATCAGTCTTTTGTTGCTGAGCTATTTTTCCCTTTCTCACTGCTGCTTTTCCCTCATCTCTTCCCTGCTAGCAGCAGTGACAACTTTGAAATGACTGTAAAAATGCATATATAATCAACTCCTTCTGTTTTGCTTGAGCTGTATGTTACAGAAAAATGGCAGTTCTCCTGTTTCTTTGCTAATAGGTAAGCACAGCAAAATTAAGTCTCGATTTCTGATACATTATTACTCTCATAGACATGTTAGCCTTAGACAAATAAAAAGACAGTTTTAATTTTCTTAATAATGGGATTATTTTTTTTTTTTTGATTCTGAAGTCTTCATTTCAAAGTAAGGGAATTATTTTAGATTGTCTACCTTCTAATCAATTTGCCCTCAAATAGATCTTTACAGGCTTTTTTTACTCTTCTCTTTCAGTTAACTTTCCAGACATTACAGCTCTCTGTTGAGGCAAAAATTGATACGCACAACCCTGAGTTATTCATAATTGGAGAGAATACACTAACTGTAAGTGATAGATAAGTATATTTTTCCAGCTTCTCTTTTACTGTATTAAAGTGATAATATTGAATTTGCAGTGTCCTTTAGGACTATGTAGCGAATTACAAACTCTGGCGATATTTGATTACGTTGAACTAATGTACCCTTTTAGCTATATACAACCTCCCTTAAGTTACTTAAATGTTTTCATTTCAGCCAATTGCTACATAAACCAGATTTAATTAAAATCTGTAGATCTGAAATAGATTGTAGAACGAAAGCAAAACTCAGTTAGAAACTTCTGAAATTCACTTAGCTTCCTGTTCATGAAAAGATCAAAATTTGGACTTTCTTCTGCAATGGAATTAATTGTTATTGATAAATGAGCTCTGGGAAACATTTTCACAAATCTGATTTATATCCTTACTCCTGTAAGTGTCTTTGGTTTGATGTCTGTAGACAGATGTTTGGCACAGGTCTCCAGCAAATATATTTAATCTTGTTTGTAAAAGAATGTGGAGTATTTTTTGCATTTGGAATGGCTGTTATATGGACAATGTGGATGCAGCTAATCTAAATAAAAGTCTTCAAGTCACCATTTCATTAGTGTAGAATCCTTCTCCCAAGGTTTCCATCTGCTATATACAAACATACACAACATTTGAAGAATACATTAGCACTGTGGTGATAGAAAGATACCTTGTTCTCCTGGCCTATCCAGAGAGGAACACACTTCCACTTGCAATACTAAATTTAGATTTATTTTTACAGGATTTACCAGTGTGTTCTATCCATAAAAATAACCAAGGCCATTGAAGACCAAAATGCAAGTTAGTAAGAGTCAAGTAGCTGTGAGAATGCATAGCATAGCACATTCACAGGCAAGGGCAGTTCAGTTAAATATGTATAAAGGCAGTTATTGATTGACTGATCCATCTCAATGTGAAAACAAGACTATAATTCAGTACTATTTTTTGTTACTGTTTTCTCATGAATCACTCCATTTCTTTTGAAAAATCTCTAAATAGACCCATTTGCCTTCAGGGAAGCCTCCAGTGCCTGAAGAAGCAAAAGAAATCATGTGTAGTTCTGGAAATAATGCCAGTTTTTTGCAGAAAAATTGCATGCCTGTATTTGAAGTGTGCTGCAGGCCTCAGCTTTGTGGCATAGTGTTACTTCTGCTAGGAGAAGAAACTCATTAATGCACAATGAAAATATTCCAATTAATTGCACAGGCTTTTTGGGTAGCTCATAAACCATGTATTACTAGGTATTTTTCCACAGTTGAAGTATGATGCTGGTAAATATACATTACAAGCAGTTTTGTTGGTCATTTCAGGAGAATCAGAATTTAATTATTAATATAACTAATTCAGTTAGCAAACAAAAGGTAATTCCTGAGACACCCACTGAAACATCTACAGGAGGGACTTTCATAGCTCTGGGGCACTAGTTGAACAGATCCTGAAAATTATCCACAGGGCTCCTAAGGATCACAGTGGCATTTCACAGACTCACATCATGGTAGGGTTTGGAAGGAATCTCTGGGGATCATCTAGTCCCACCCCCAGGCTAAATCAGGCTCACCTAGATCAGGTTGCACAGTGTCACATCCAGGCAGGTGTTGAAAGCCTTCAGAGAAGGAGATCCCACAGCCTTTCTGGGCAGCCTGTTCTACAGCTCTGCCACCCTCACAGAGAGTTTTTCCTTATACCTAGGTGGAACTTCTGTTCTGTTTTCAGTGAAAAGAGACTTTTGGTGAGGCTTACAGCCTGATCTTTACTCGATAGCCTCTTGTCCTGTGAAAAGTCTTGAGAAATGTTCCAGCTGGTACAGGTACACTCTCCCTAGGGCAGAGAGCTTGCTTTGATATTTCAGTGATGGAGCTAGTACCCAGCACTGGGTATAATTCTTGGCAGGCCAGCAGTGATACCCAGTCTTTGGACTTCACACCTCCTTGGGAACAGGACAGTGCAGAAGCAATCTGAGTTTATTCCCCTACTCTCCCTCTTATTTTAGATAAGGGTGTTAGGATTCATCCAACTTAATATCTACATTAGTAATCCACATCAGTTAGCCCTTCTATAAACCCTGATCTGTAGAAAGAATATGTATTTCTGAGATGCAATTAAGCTCATCTCAAGGATAATCCTTCGTCTCCATTGAAGTCAAGGAACTATATTGTGGACATAATACTAGATGAGTTGAATCCCAGCCACAGTTAGACTTTAGAGAAGACACTTCCACTTCACTGTTAACCTAATGGAGAAAGCATTACTAGGCAAACAGCACATACGTATGAAATAGTTTGGATGAGCTGGGTTGCTGTGTAGACAAATTAATATTGCCTTGTGATGCTATGTGGAGAAGCTGTTTAGGTACCTTTGCATAAAAGCTCTCAGATTTTTTCCAAGTTGGAAAGGACTGCCAGCTGGTGGACAGAAGATTAACCTGCTATAACCATCATTAAGGCTCTTTGGTTAGAAAACACACAAAGCAATCCTGCCTCAGTGAAATTAATACACACAGCCGCACCTAGCACAACACTGGAGTCTTCCAGCAGAAATGACTTAAATCACTGACATGTCAGTCCACTGCAAGTTTCCCAGAAAGCCTGAGATTAAATTACACCAGACAAATGCACTGAGCAAGCAATCCTGAGAAAGTAAACCACCATGACTTCTTTCATCATGTTTCAGGAAGGACGGAACCTTCATTCTAAATGCATGTCGTTCCAAGATTAAATCCAAAGATTTGACAGTTCATAAATACTACAGCACTGTCTCCCAGAGCAACTGTGTTATACGTAACTATATCCTTGGTCGTACCCAATCCAACTAGAAAGGGTGTCACTTGAAAACTAACTTCCAGACACTGTGTGCTGTCCTGGGAGCTCTCTGGTATTGCCTGTAGTTAGAGAGTATAGGTGTGCTCAGAACGCTCCCGTTTGACCCCTACCTCTTACAGGAAATTCATGCAGTTGACTCAGGAGAACACAGATTAAAATGAGAACATCTAAAAAGTTGTTAGTGGTTTCCTAGAAGGTGTGAACAGCAGGCAAAGGAGACAGAGGCACCTGCCCAGCAGGAGGGAAAAGATTTGGGCCAGCGCTGTGCGTGCACAATGCTGTCTGGCCTCCGTGTATGGTCCTGCCTCGCACAGCTGCCCCGCACAGGGAACGGGCTCTGGCAGCGCTCGGCTGGACGTAGCTGCTCCGCAGCTGATGCACCAGACGGGGCTCTGCACCAGGCTGTTCCCCACCTGCATGGGAGCATCTCTGGTTTACCTAGTCATGGCATGTCCACGAACTCTGAAAGACCTCCTGTTACTGGAGGGGCAGAAAGCTGGCAGGAAGAGACTGCTTCTCTGCCTGTTGCATATGGCCAAGAGTGATAAGGGCCCTAAAACTTAACTGGCACTGCCGTGTGCCATGGTGGTCCAATCAGGTACCCATGGACACCAGTGAAAGGCTGTAATTGCCTAGTGTGTTCCAGTCATTGATCCTTGAACGTGTACAGTCCAGCTGTTCTTTATTAGTAAAGTATTTGGTGTACAAATCCTACTTTCTATGCAGTTAACATTAACCCCTAACGTATAATCTCTCTTCCTTCAGATCCCAGTTACAATCACGAAGCCAGATGAGAAAGCTGAGATACCAGTTGGTGTTGTGATTGGCAGTATATTGGCTGGACTCCTGTTGCTGTTAGTTTTGGTTGCTGTTTTGTGGAAAGTAAGTAGGCGTTTATATTCTTAAAAAGCACAAAAAGGGATAAATACATTTGGGCTATTTTCTTTGGAATCTCTCCTCTCTGGTGCTGAACAAAACTGTGCCTGCCGTTTGGTGGTACAAATAATACACTGGCATTATGTCCCTGATGGAAGCATCTAGAAGGGCATTAAAATTTAAAACTCTGAAATGGGTCCCCATAGAAACCGGCAATGTGAAGATGATAAATGAGTTTACAGTGTTTCAAAACAGGGACTGTAGCATTTGGTTTTTTTCCTTTTGACATTGCCTGTCTCCTCCCAGAACTCCCCACCTGCGCTCTGAACTCCCATGATATTCCCAGTGGACAAGGCTGAGGATTAGATGAAAGGAGGGAGAAGTTATACACTGGAAGAGAAGGGTGAGGGCAAGAAGTCATTCACAAAGCATTCCCAAATGAAGGAGAGAGAAAAGTTTTTGTATATCCCACGGCACTGGTGCATGAAGGGCTCCTTGGCACACCAAGGCAGCCTGGAGATGCCTGTATCTTGGCAGGGAGGCAACTGACTACTCAGTACTGCTGTTTTGGCATTCAGTTCCACCAGGCAGGAGTTTAAGGCCCAGCTCCTTTCATTTTAGATTTAGGAATTGTTGACAAATCAAACACTGTATGTGTGCACACGTGTGCATTTCTACCATCACACTATTTAGCTGAGCCCAGAAATGTATCAATGACTCACCACAACGTTGTGTTATTTTAATACTTCTTGCAGCTTGGCTTCTTCAAGAGACAGTATGAGAAAATGACACAGGATATAGAAGATGTTGATGAAATTACGGAACTCACAAAGGACAGAGACTGAAGATGATGAGTTATGTGGATAAGGAGAGGAGATCTGAGCCACCAACAGTAGTTGTGATCCAGTCGGTTCTTCAGCTGGAGTGCCTTAAAGCTTAGTAACATTTAAACATTTTTAATGGAAGTGTCTTGTAGATGAAAATATTTTACAGATTCTACTCTATTATAAGAGTAACTGCAGGACAGTTTTGTTGGTTTTTTGTTTTTTTTTTTTTGTGGCTTTTTTTTCAGAAATGATTTATAGTGCCTTTTCTTGTAAATTTTTGCCTTTCAAACAGACTTAGCCCTTAAAACTGGCAGGTCCGGAGTTTACAGTAACATATTGTGCCAGCAACACTTCTCCTGATCCACTGCAGAGTGAAACAGAGCAATTTATTTCAGATTATTGTGGAACAGCATCAGTTCGTAATTCAGTTGACAAGTACCATATGTGTAAAGGACATTTTCTATTAAGTTGATGATGAATGTGTGGTGAATACTGCTTCCAGACTGGGAGAAGAAAACTCATTTTTTTTATTGACTAGCACCATCCTTATTGTTTTAGAGAAATAATTTGCACCAGCAAACCTTTGTCTTAACTATATAAAGTGGGAACTGCATATGATGATGTCTGTCTGGGTGCTACAGGACAACCGGATGGACAAACTGTTCCAAAAGTTCACCATGTTCCTGGCACTAAGGTCACAACAAAATTACTGAAGTACATTGTTTTGGGAAAATACTGCCAATATGTATGCGTAACTACCTTCTGCATACTTTCTCTGAGAAGAACATACAAACCTAATAAGCACTTACAGCATGTTCTCTGCATTGTTATGATTGGTTTTCAGATTTCATCTTCAGAAGCAGTACCATGACTGTTACACTGGTCTTTATGCTTCCAGTCCTTCTGTTCTGACATCAGTTTAGCTCCTGATGTAAACAGGGAAGACAGTCAAGATCTTGCCCTTAATTCTGTACTGAAAGATTTTGCAAGGCTGAGAGCATGAAGTGAGCTAAAGGGGATGATGAATAAGGAAGTATGCACATTAGGATAGAGGACAGTAAAGATCAAAGCTCTGTGAAAATTGTTTACTGCTCTTGTTTCTTTAGCAACTCAGTGCCCTCCAGGAGACCAAAGTTCAGTATGACTTCCTTACCTGTCACATTTTATTTGGTCCCACACGTTCATGTCTTAATGAAGTTAACATGTTTTATACAGTAAAGTACTATCGTGGAAGGAGCTCTGAGCACTACACTGGGGTGACTTTGTTTTGGTTACATGTCTCAAGTTTATCACATGCTCTTATGCTGCCTGGTTTTAATGAAAGCTCTGTCTTAAAAAGGCCTGTGCTGTAAGAGTGGCAGCAGTCAGGGGAATTGGCCTTTTGGCTCCTTTCTCTCGTGGCTGGCAGTTATGTTAATAATTGATTGTGAGCGAAGACGTGTGCGTTGTCACTGCCATGCAAGCGAGACCGTTTCCAACTCAAGGTGATTTACTTGACGAGTTAAAACATTTTAAACGTGCCTGATTCAGGACCTGAAGTCATGTTTTCTTTCCCCCAAAGCTAGATTGTAAATATGCTGGGGCACTTTTCAGACTGTTTTCTGAGGGATTCTTCAAAAGCTAGGCTTTTAAAGTTTTACTCAAGACTTCACATCTTTTTTTGATCAGGAATCAGCCAGGCAATTTATTTGCCAGTGTCTTTGGCAAATAACAGCTTCATTTGCAGTGACAGCTGGATTGTGCTCAGTGTAGTTTTATATGTGTTTTGGATTTATTTTGTATCTATGAAATGTTCTAGTTTGGAGTGTGGTTTTCTTTAACGTTCTGAAAAACAATCCAGATTCTCATCTTGATTGTCAAACAAGATTGTTGCCATCAGCTGAGTTTGCGACCAAAACAATTATTTAAAAAAAAAAAAAAACAACCAAACAAATAGCAATTGCATAAAGCTAAAGAATAAGCTCCTGACTTGTAATTATAAATCCTGAGGGTGAATGCTCTGACAGTAAAGATAAAAATTGATCTGCCTCAATTCTTGTATAAACTTGTGAGGAAGAAAACAAACCCCTTCGCTTGTATGAGTGGGAAGCTCCTACGTAACCAGGGTCATGCACTCCAGGCTAGAGGGGGAATTTCACAATGCAGCAGATGGCAGCACCTTTCATTTCTGGTGCTGCTTGAAAGGAAATTTAGGCATTCAGCTGGATTTCCTTCTTCCACCTTCAGTGGGAGGTACAGGTCAGTATCTGACATCCATCTTCTTTGGGGATAACAGTTTATCAATCAGGTAGCAATGATTCAATTCACTAGCCTTCACAGGATTTTCCCCCCAGCCTGGACATAATACTTTTTCCCAAAATAAAGGGAAAGTATAGTAATGGGTAAGGTTTTTGTATCTTAATCACTTCAAGTTACTAGTTTATTTTTCTTTTACATTACTAAATGGTTAATTCAGTTTTTGTAATGGGTGAGTCTATTGCACTTTGAAGTTTGCACAGCCACAAATAATGCTGGAAATATTATGTATATTTTGTGTTATGTGCAAAGGGTTGGTTTTTTTTTTTTCCGTCTTTTTTTAAAAATAGCACATTACAGGTGAAATGATACTCTGAAATGCTGAGCTTCAGCATGTGCTTCTGTTCATGCTTGCAGCAAGAGAAGTCAGAAATACCTTCAGCAAACTCAAATTATATCTGATTCTGGTCTTGAAATCTAGCTGCTGATTTCTTGAAGCACCAGAATCAAGTCCAAAACCAGAGTTAGTTTCACATGAGCCTGTGTATAGATTTGGGATGTACAAAGAGAGTTTATAATCAAATTGACTGCTGAAATCTAGCATGTAAGCTCTATGGGAGCAGGGACTGTATCACTGTGGTGCCTACCTGAAGGGCCTAAGAGCATTACCACAATAAAACCAAGAATACTGCTGAACACAGACTCGTTTATTTTTAAATACCATTCTAAAGTGAGGAAATGCTACTGAAAAAGCACTGTGTAAAATGGGCCCAAGTATGTCTGTGCTCCAGTAGCAAACAGTGAAACCCCCAAGGGTATGACTCTGCTAGGTATACAAAGAAGCTGCACTTGAAGTCCTGTAGGTTATAGTCATAACACTACCAGTAAAGCTGTTCTGTAGTGCAAGTCAGCTCACATTAGTGCAAAATACCAAAAAGTCTACATGGTTTTCACTGCCTCAGAAAAGTTGAGTCCTATCTTTTAAGTCAATCTTTCTGCCTTCATTTATGGCAAGTTATTTATATGCAATCACAGGCTTTGGTGTTCTGGCAGTTTTTAAAGTCTATTTGCCTCTTTTTCTTAAAATAGTCAAAATGGAACTTTTAAAACAGAACTGCTATAAAAATTCATCAGGATGCTAATTTTTGTAACACTTAGTAAAATCAAATTGTATGGCTGTTTGGGTTTTTTTTTTTTTTGAAAAAAAAGCAGGCCTAAGGTACTCTAACTGCTGATTTATTGACATCAGCCTATTGTCAAATCTCTTTCTTCAAGTACCTTCACAGGACATTTAATGGAAGAGCTCAAGATTGAGTTTTTAGAGCTTTTTGAGGGGCAAAGGGTAGCATGTCTGCTTTCACAGACAATTTCACTTTGTTAATAATTAGTTTTAAAAGTTTATTCCTTTTCACGTTTTTGATGGAGCAAATGAATGCATTAGTCTATAGATCTACGGATTCCCTGAATGCCTATGGGGGAAGAGACCTGAGGTAAAAGCTGAAAATCTGCTTTCAAATTCAGCAGTCCGAAGGCTTCATTCCCGAGCAGGCGAGCGGCACTTTGAGGAGCGAGGGCCGAGGAGGGCGAGTGTCATTCCCAGCGCAGCCCGCACCTGGGCGTGCCGGGGCCGCTCCTCCCGCGCCCGCACGGCCGTCTCTCGGCTGCCATCTCCTGGGTTGGCTCCTCCATAACACGGTGCCATCCCCCCCACCGTTTGTTTCACGGCAATCCATCAGTGAGCTTCTCTTCAGAGCAGAGCAGAATTAAAAGAAAGGAAACTCTTCAGAATGAAGCTATACTGGTGTATGGACGGTCTGCCAGGCAAAGGGACGGATCAGTATATTCAAATGTTGCTAGCCAAGACCAAGACATCTTTTCAGAAGGACAAATTCTTGCTCTGATGACATGTGCTTTCCTTCCACAAACATCCTTTCTGGCAAGTCTCTGCAAGAATCACACAATGACCCTCTGGTCTGTAGCATCTATTACCAGGAACATCTGTCTGCACCTGGAGCCACTACCTCTGCAGCATGCTGTGATACAGCTGGGAAAGCCACGGAAGAGGGGGGGAGGGGTACCCTCCCTTACAGCCAAGGCAGAGGAACAGCCAGACTTCTCCCAGGAAGCTAGAACTGCATTGTGTATCAACCTGCAGCTGCCTGCCATCCCACTCACAGAGCTCACCAGAAGACAAGGTAGCCTTCATCCAGAATGTGTGGAAACATGGGACATGTGCAGCCACCTCCTTCCCTGACAAGCATCCAGATACAGCTGGGATTCATCCCCTAGCCTGGAAATTTGGAAGTACTTTTAGCTTGCTGCAGACACAGCCGTAGGCAGCTATTTTAGAACAGAGTACTTTGTGCTCCTATGATAACAGTGCTCTAGCTGAGAGGGTAGCCCTACAGAGGGAGCTGGAACACTGAGCTCAGTGTAGACTTAAATTTCAGTGCGATACATTTTACCTCCAATTATGCACATCATCCCCTCCAGGGGCATTTCCATTTCGCTTTTAGACGCCAGCAGAAGAACCCAAAGTTACACAAGAGTGATACATCATTGTTCTAGAACAAAGCAGTACTTGCCTCATGCACAGTTAGGGACACAAAATGACATTTCATTGTTTTGACCATGGCAGCATACACACATTGTAACACTCAGCTGTGACTCAGTGCAACATCTCTTCCATTCATTGTTCCTGGTCACTGTGGGGAAGTACACAATTATTCTTTCTCTTCTTTTCTGCACCCTTCTTCCCAGCTGCATTGCTGATGGGGAAGGTGCATTTAAGGTCACCCTGGAGGAAATCTTCCAGCAGACTGCAGCTCTCGAGAAGCACTAGTGCAACACAGGAGTTGCCCCTGATCACAGAGCCCCGAGTACCATTTAGCTGTTCTAAATTGTCACTGTTTTTCTGTATCAGAGCACAGCACTAGTATGTGAGCACTGCACAGGTTTTACTTCATTCATAAACCATCCACCACAAGACAACCTAGCTATTTGTTTGTTAAACCAGTACACTAATTAGTTGCGTGGTAACAGCAAACATGAATGTGGAAAAACAAACACCAAAAATGGGAAAATTGGTATTTCTTTCTTTTAAAAAAAAGAATCGGCAGAGGAAGTCATCTGTGCTCGGGATTCTGTACAACTCCCAACACAAACGACATTCAAATAGCAGTGGGCTTCTCTCCAACCTCCAAAGCAAGGGCAAATTCAACATTGAACTTGCTCACCTCTGACAGGGGCCACATGGTTTGGAAGCTGCATCTGTGTGCGCACACAAGGAGCAGCTGCTGTCCTGCAGAGAAGGACTCGCTCGCGTCCACGAGGAGAGTGCATCAGCAAGTTAGCAAAGCACACTGTAACCATGCTTCTGCCTGAAGCTGTATGTTCCACTGGGGTTTACCTAATCCAGGTACAGTATGAGAACTCACTGGGGAGAAAAAGATCACTGACTATTTTTCTCATTTTATTTTGTGCAAATAGCAGCTGTTTGTTGACTTACACTGCAGAAACAATGAAATGGATCGTACAGCTGAAGTTTAAGTATTGTATAACGTACAGATACATAAACTTGAGCAAATAATTTCACTTTTCTTTGCCTCATTTCCCTTCCTTTATATCTATCTTGTCTACAGGATAGTAGATGCAACTGCCTCTCAGTATTAATAAACAATGGAACTTTGAACTCTTAGCATCTAAACACTGTCATGGCACAGTACAATAATATGAACAAAATTATCTTACTCAGGTGAACAGCCCATTGTTTCCAGCAGAAGCACAGGCATACTGTGTAAGTCTTTGTCTCTTTTAACCAGGTTTCAAGACAGTAACAGGAGAAAAACTGTATTAAAATCGTAACTGTGAATTTAAATGCATATATAAACTGAAAAAAGTTCAAATCCAGGCACAAAGAGATGATTTCAAATGAGAGTCAAGAGCACTTAAAACCCTATTTATTATTAATTTTTTTTCACTCAGCCCTAATTACATTATTCAGATTGAACTGCGTATTACAGCCGCTTAAAAACATATAGATTCTCTATAAAAACGAGTATGCTCATCAAGAAGAGTAACACTTTATTTTTAAAAGAGGACAGCTACTTTTCTGAATTTGCCCAAAAGCATTCCTTGTTTTCTTTCCAAGAATATTCATCCTCATAAATTTCCTGCAAATATAAACAAAGAACGGGAAATATTGTGGGAGTCTGCTACACAGAGCCACAAGCCAGGCCAAACAACTCAACAGCCATCCTGCTCTTATTTACAGATCACAACAGGACTACACAGCCTTTGGCTGGCAAACAGAAAAAAGGGCAGCACCCTGAGAACATATTCACTTACATGTGGGCAGATGCTGAACCTCAGGCTGAGCCCCATTAAATTTAGAACAGCCCATCTATACTGAAGTCAATTCAAGCAAGAGTTCTAGAAGAAATGATGTAGAAGCTGTAGAGTACACAGCACTAGGGTCTGGAACAGTCGTTTTTACGTGTTGTGACATTAACCGGCCATATCATAATTTTTAGTAGAGTACTGAAGTGTATCCAAAATGTCAATATTAAAAATGACAATACACAAAATGCACTAAGCCTCAGATATTCCAGACAGACTGGACTACCCAGCAACAGTCCAGTCCTAAGCAGCAAATTCAGCAGGGCTCCCAGACCCTGATTATTCTTTCTGAGACCACAAAACTCCACGCTCTCAAAGAAGATGTCAAAAGAGTGAAGTAATGTGGAGAACATCGCTGTTGGCTCATGCCAAGTTCTGCCTGGCAGAGAGCAGGCAGAGGTAATGCTCATTACTTGCATGCAACACTGTGGTTACACAGTGATGCTCTTCCTAGTCCCAGGCTCTTCCCTCCACAGATTGCTATGTGCCCATACTAGCTTAGGGAACTCTGCTCATCCCTTCATTGTGTGCTGTTGCTTAATGCTTTGTGCTTTCACAATGCCACAGGGATGAGGGGAAAACAGAAAGACAAGAAATGCCACTTTTACTTGCAATCTGGAATGCTGTCCAAAGCCAAGCTGACTCAGAGTTGTTCCAGAAGCTTCTGCAAAACTGAGTTGGCTGCTCAAAAGAGGAGAGCTCTGGGCTCCTTCACTTTAACCTCAGGATGGCATTAAAAGGAAGAAGAGGAGCTGGATGGTGCAGCGAAGGAAGGGCCTTCCAGGTGCCCTATCTGCCACACACGGGCCTGACTGCACTAGAGGAAACTCCCTGGCGCTAGACGCCGGCACCCCATCAGGAGCAATTGCTGCCCATAATACTGCAGCTGCTTCACTGACCAACAGCAGCTTATAGCCCAGCTGTCTAAGATTCTGGCACAGGCCTAAAACCAAATTTGTCCCAAAACATACCTTCTTCCATATTGGGACAGATGCTTTTAAGGTATTGATGCAGTACATTACAGCTTCAAGGGATTCTGCTCTGTGTGGAGAGGAGACTGCAATAACCACACTTGCTTCAGTTACTGGAACCACACTAAGGAGAGAAGAGGAACAACAGCAGCTTTAGCTAATGCTTAACATCAAGAGCACCCAAAAGTTGTGGCCAGGACACACCACTGTTCTGGCCACACACTCCTGACTCATTCATACGGAGCAAGTGTCAAGACACGTTCAAAAGATTATATAATTTTTAAAAGAAAGAAGACCACAACCAAAATCAGTACCAGATGTGTGATTTCCATGCTTTAGAATAAACACACCATAGGCTTTTTTATTTAAAAAAAAAAAAAAACAGAAAAAATAAAATAAAGTCTATGGACTTAAGAGAAAATTGATAACTTGCAACAGTGCACAGGAAACTCACCGGAAACTGGCTTAATAATTAACAATGACAAGTCAGGAACAGCCAATTCTTATCTGAAAGCTTAAGAAATCACCTCAGTTTACACAAGCATTTGTGAAAGAAGAAACTGAGTGCCTCAAACTATGCAGATTTTGCAATGAAACTTAATTTTTTGATAAATACCGATTTCAAATTATGAAACTTTTCCTGTTTGATGTGTTGTTTTCCAAACTTAACAGAAGTAGCACAAAGTTTTGTTTCGCTCCTCAGAAAGACAGTGTTCCCAAAAGCTGCCTCCCAACCCTCCCTCCACCGGCAAACTGTTGGCAGGAAAAATCTAAGCTTAAATGCTTCGAGCTGCCCTCAAGAGAGTCACTCTGTTGACTACACAGGAAATCTGAGGAAACTACCCCTCAGAGCTAACATTACCCTTTGCAATCAACTCTTAAGTTCCTTCTGCTGAGAAAAGGAAACAAGCATTTGCAAAAGGCTGCATAATACTGCCAGCTTCAGTGAGAAATCTGATGAATAGTGAAGGTTCAAAGAGTACGTCAGACACTAGTACTCCGTGTTTTGAACTCAACAGAAAATGCTTATCCACAACTCAAAGAACAACAGGAGGTTCTCCAGCAAGCAAGGCCAGCAATTACCATACCTCTCCCCTCCCCAAAGTCTAAGCTGTTCACATTCCCCATGGCATAGTTTGACTTAAAACTGACAGTAAAAATGTTCTGCAGCACCTCAATGCAAGAGAGAACAAAAAAAAAGAAAGTGCTGCCGACTTCACTTCCTTAAAAACAGACAGAAGAAGCCAACAGCCTTCCCTTCCCTGGAATAAAATCTCAAACCCTTCTCCCCACTTTTAAACCACGACACTAGCATCAAAGATCCTGCAGACTAAATGTTGACTCCAGCAAATGCTACTAATATACACGTTTTTGAAAAGATGAATTCTGAAAGGTAATTTCACAGTCTAAGCTCGATCATGCAGTCATGTTTGCTGCATTACAGTTCATAAAGACTCCTGCACATCCTGCAGCCGTGTAACTACAGCCATACGCTAGACAAGGATTAATGTTCCATTTGCAGAATGATGGGGTTTGGCCATACATACCCAAGTCTGTGGTGCACTGCAATATGTTTGACTGATGGCCATTTCTGTCTAACATCTCTGCAGATTTTCTTGATTTCAGTCTCTGCCATTGAAGTATATGCTTCATATTCTAAGCGAATCACTTTCTTCCCTTCAAAATTGTTTCTTGTAGTACCTAAACACAAATAATTTATCACAAAAGAGCACTGAGTAAATACATATTACATAATCCACATAAAAAATTTAGAATATATATTATAGCAATTAAATAATATTATATATAAAAATAGAGTAAAACTCAGGATCTCATGCTACGATCAAAGTCAGCACTATGCAAGTATAAACTATCTCCCCTAATCAAGGCTACGTAAAGGTATCTTTTTGAACAAAAGAAATCTTTAATATACAAGCAAGCATTTAGTTTACACATTAAACAAGTCTGCAGTCTGTAATGCCTAAGGCTGGGACATCTTCTGTAGTAACTGCAAAGGTACTATTATTGCATTTGTCCATGCAGTATCTAAGAGCTCAGTACTTAGGAGCCCAGGAGCACCAACGTTTAAGCACAAGGGGGTTTCAGGACCTGTACCATGTACATTAAGCAACAAGACAGAGCTTTCAGCCTTCACCTTCACCAGCCCATAGGTAAAACAGTACTTTACTTTCAATAAAGATTTGAGTTGCAGCCTTCAGAGAGATGTAGACCTGTGGTTTACACAGCCACAGCATCCCATTTCCTACCTTGAAAAAGTTGTGTCCAAGGGGATGGGAGAGCAGCTCCAGAACAGTCCTGTACTCCAGAGCTGCTGTTCTGTTCAGGACTAGGATCGTCACACCAGCAGGGAAGCTTGTCACCACTTTGTCCCAGTGCAACTGTTTAAAAGCTGCCATGGTTTTGTTCTAAGTAATCCAGGACATGTTTTCTAAATGTTCTGGCTTCAGCCCAGGAACTTATTTGAGAAGCACGAGTTTGGCGTGTGGACGATCTAGGTTTCATTTATTAGACTGTTAGCACACTCAGAGATTGAGCTCAGAAATATTAAACTCACCAATGAACAAAGACACTGCCCCACAGTATGGTGAAATGACCATCTCTGACACTTCATCTACAGAGAGCTTTTCAGACTTTAGCTTGATAAAATCTTTTGGCACATCTTCGCTTTCATCCATGACTCAGTAGAAAAGCTGAAACCAAACAAACTCTATTGTTGCTTTTGGTGATGCCAGCATTGACCAACTGCTTTTTATCCAGTGCTGATGCCCCAATTCATGCACCATCTACTTCTAACCCCAAGAGACCACCAGTCTCTATGGCAAATTCACTTCTTAGCAGACTTGCTGTTAGAATATTAACCCCAAGAATCAAGCAATGACCTGTTTTTTAATGCATACATGCTCCTTGTGGTAGGAAAGTCTGTCCAAGCAGGACAAAACTAGAACTAGTCTGAGGCCCTAGTTTAACAGTACAAATAAACCAGCACAGACCACTGTACTAATAAATCTGTGGCAAGATTGTCAGTCCCTCCTCCCTATCTAATCCTTAAATTAAACACAGTTTAAAACACATATTTCTAATAAACACAGATAGAGTTCTAATCCTCAGGACCTCATACTGCTGGTCTGTTTCAGTGACACTGGAGAATACTTCTAATTCCTCTGGGTAGAAGCCAGTCACCAATTCATGTAAGAATCATGAGAAGAAGTATCTTGAGCAGTAGCAATGGAACATGCTATGTTCCAATGGAATGTACCTTATTTATGCAAGCTGGATATCTACTGGCAGCCAGGAACACCTACAAAAGAGTAACAAGACCCAAAAACCAAACTCAAAACAGTGTCTGCCTCCATGGGCAATTTTATTCCATTTACTGCTTATCTGTTAATCACCTACTATTGGGTCACTAGGTTACAGTTTCTGGTCAGCACAATGGTTCTCTCCAGCAGGAAATGCAAGTTACGTTCTCTGGAAATACTACTGGGGTGGAGGAAGAGAATTGCAATCACATCTCTGGACCTAAACATAAAAAAAAAAAAAAAAGTTATTATTAGATATTTTAGCACTGGAGGACACTCCATCGGAAACTAAGCGATACCTACCTAACAGAACCTGGGACGATTCAGCCTCCACTAATTGGTGGGATGATGGCGACTTCGTCTCCAGGCTGCAGGACCAGGGGATGATCCCCCAGACGCACGTACTCCTGTCGAACGGCGAAAACCACTTGATCCTGGATGACAGCAAGCCTGAGAGGGATTGGCAGTAGCACAATTAGGTTTCTAAATAGACTGGTTGCATTTAACCATGAGATTTTGTTAAAGAACAAACTGATGCACAGTCTAGGGCAGCTGAGGTAAATACCACTGAGACTTAGGCAACTCTGCTTCCAATAAACTTTCAAAAACACAACAAACATCCACCTCCTACTCCTGGGTTTTCTTGTGGCTTATGAGGAACCAACTCAGTATAACTTTTATAGGTCAGGAACTGGATTTGTCATAGAGCTACGTCAGAATGAAGCACTGTAGACCACACCCACTCCTGTAGCTTCTAACAAAGAAGTAACTAACTCAAGAGGTAGCCACCATCCAATCTGGGATTAGATGGAAATATTCCCCCAGTTCAGTCTGGCTGGACTGGAGCAATTTCATTACATGGTAAGAATCACTGCAGGATGCTGCTCATGAGATCTCATGAAGATTCAGTGGTCTAAGAGTGGCTCTTGTTGTAAAACCTCACAATTTATGAGGCTTTGGATCTTTTCTACTTCCAGGTCTGAAATTTCCTATTGACAAAGAATGGCAAAAGAACAAAGAGGGCAGATCTGATGTATTTTCTGGCAGATCTTCTACATATTTTTTTGATTTCACATCTGTGAAACATTGCTGTGAAAGTCCACAGCTCTGAATACCATGAGGTAGGAAGCCACTTTCATGACTAGGTGCAGTCACACAGTATGAGGGCAACATCAGTAAGACACCAAAGAAGGAACACCAACATTTTACTTTAGAAGGTCCAGGCATGGTAACTGTTACCGTCTGAGACCACAAAATCTGGGACAGACAGTGCCAGGCTGTACTGCCTAGAAGCAAGTAGGCATGTCAAAGTGCACAAGCAAAAATCATCTATTTCCTACCAGCCAGAGAGACAAAAGTAGAAAGGCACAGACTGAGCAAAGCATAGTAGGACAGACTGAATGGTGGAACTGTATGAAAGTAAAGCAAGCCACTGAGGAACTGAGCGGAACTATGGAACTGAAGTGTCCATTAGAAGGATGGGCTCTAATTAATATCACTTGGAAGTTGATTCACTGGGGAAAACGGGTGGAACAGAAAAGCATTGTCAAGAATGCTCAAGCTACAGTCTGAATATCCATTAGCAATGTGAAAAGAAGTCTGTGGTCAATGCCCTACAATTATGTTGAGTTTTTCCAGAAAAGCTAGGAGCAGAAGCATTTTCCAAGAAGGCCACTGTGGAGTAACTGCACAGGCAAAATGTACTGCCCCAAGTCATCATTCATAAAAGGACAAAGTTGACAAATTGTGGCAAACCAACCAAAGGTTGTGTTGCTGCTTCTGACACCGAGTAATAGGCTGCAAAGTAAAACACTCATTCCCCACTGCCTCCTTTCCCAAAACATGCTTAGCTTCAATCCTCTGTGAGGAAAAGGCCGCTGGTCTAACATTTGGTTAGAGCTTCTCATCTGGAAATAGATGCCATTGCTAAATAGTTGTGTGGGTTTTTTTGGGGGTTTTTTTTGTTTGTTTGTTTGGTTTTTTTTCCATAGCTTTTGAGAGTAGAACAAATAAGGAAGGGTGGTGCCTAAAGGAAGACTTTGGCACCCAAGTCCAAAGTCGTAGAAATTCCAGTGCATTCAGCACTAAATCCTGAGAACCTCAACCTCTGTTATACCTTACCTTTTTAATTTTTTTTTTCACTCCTCTCTTCAAAACAGTGTGGTACCCCTATCTATCATACTCTTTATTGACAGGACTGAGCACATTCCCCCAGCCTTAACCTGAAGGGGTACACTCCCGAAGACCACCAGCACTACAGAGGTCCTTAGAGAACACAGCCAGTGCTCTCACAGGACCAGACTCTTCATAAAACGCAACCAACAGTGATTACTGTTTTTTTTCCAGAACAGAGATTTAAAGTGGCTGAGCCAATTTCCTGTGTAAGGGTTGAGTGGCTGGAAGTGCATGGCAGGGCTTCAGTTTCCTTCCTGACCTGCCTTTCAGAACGTGTCAAAAGCTCAGACCAATGGCTAACAGCACACCTAAAGACAGGTGATCTAAAACATCTGCACATTATCATTAATTTCTTATTTATTGCCCAGGCTGCACTTGAGCCTTCCTTGAGACATCTCACCTTCTCCACAGGTTAATATGAGCTTAGTTTTCAGGTGCGGCAGAGTTACTGCACCATGACCCTTTGGGACAACAGGCCATATATCTTAAACCACGCCTCTGGCTCAACTTTTGGGTACATTTATTTGACCTACTCTTTCCTTGCACATACATAAAGCTACACCATTTCCAATGGGCCAAAACACACAATGCTTGCTGCTGTATGCAAGAAGGTGGATGATGCCACTGTTCTGATGACACCTGAGTATTGATACGCTTTCCAGCTCAACTCCAAGCACTGAACCTGTATTTACCAACGATACCCCCGCCACGTTAAGCCCTGTGCACCTCGGGAGCAGCCTTCCCGAATACCTTGGGTGAACTCTGACGATCTCCTCCCAGAGCTGCAGCGAGGTGATCTGCCGTGGCACCGAGAGGGTCTCGCAGCGCAGCCCCGCCAGCTCCGCGCTCCGGGCGAAATACAGAACGGAGATCTGCGCGGGGAACAAACGCCCATCAGGGACCGGGGCCTACCGCAAACAAACCCGCTACTGCACCTTAGCTTCCCAAAAATACCAAAACAAACCACCGAAACCAAA